GGAGGGGCTGAGAAACAGAGGAAGGCCCTGAGGAGATGGATGGACACAGTGACGGCAACAATGGGCTCAGACAGGAACAATTGTGAGGATGGCACAGAGCTGTGCAGTGCTTAGTTCTGTTGTGCATACGGTCGCTATGGGTTGGAGCCGATTTGATGGCACCTAACAACAAAAACAGGAAGTTTCCCTACCATCATAGTTTCTGATGAGACAACTAAGCTCAGAAGAAGATAAGCGCTTTGCTGGAACAGCAATACAAGCATCACAGGCCCTTGGTTTACAGCTGAACGTTATTTTTATGACATTGTTCTGAAAGCTTACTAGTAAAAATAAAACTAGGTACCTCTTTGTGATGAATATCTTCACTCTAAACCAAGGTCCTGCATCTGTTACTGAGGTAGAGGCTGGGAAAAATTCTTAACCAAACAGAAACCATCTGCTTTCTGGAAGTGTTAGCTTATAGTACATGAGGCTTCCTCTTGGTGGTCCTATGGGGTAATTTAATTTTCCCTTGCCCCAGGGACTTTTCTTTTCCAGGCTTGGAAACTGTATTGATGAACCTTGACCATTTAAACCAGGTTAAGCAACCCACTGGACCATTTTAAAACAACACGTTAGCACACAAAACAGGAAAGGGGAAATGTTTTTAATAGTCAACTTCTATTCCAAAATCCCACAACTTGTCTGTCAGCTTGTATGTTGCTCTTGTGCTGGAAGCAATGCCACCCATAGTGAACAGGATTCAGCAGTGTTTCCAGATGAATACAAACAAAGAAAAAGGGAAAGGCAACCGTTTCTGAAGAAGGAACCACCCAAACGTTTATGAAGAGCAGTAGAACATCGTCTGATACTATGTAGGAAGATAAGCCCCTCAGAGTGGAAGGCACTCAAAGTACAACCGGGGAAGAGCTGCCTCCTCAACAGAGAAGTCCGTTTTCATGACAGAGACAGAGTGCACTTTTGGAACCTTCTTTTGCTGATGTGCCATGACTCAAAATGAGAATAAAAGAGCTACAAACACCCATTAGTAACCAGAACATGAACTGCATGAAGTATGAATCTAGGAAAATTGGAAGTCGTCAAAAATTAAACGGAATATAGTAAGACCAATATCCTAGGCACTGGATATGCGGAAATGGACTGGTTTGGGCCATTTTTAATAGAACAATCCTACGGCATTGACAAATGGAACAGGAAAGATGTCACATTCATTTATTTAAAAGAACATTTCAAGATCTATCTGGAAATACAACACTTCCGGTGACTGGAAATACAACACTTCCGGTGAGAAGATAATAGCCATGCTTACAAGGAAGATCAGTTAATACACCTTCTATTCAAATTTACACACTAATCTCTAATGCCACAGATGAAGAAATTGAAGGCGATTACCAACTTCCGCAGATTTAAATTGAGCAAACATGCAGTCAAGATGCATTGCTGATTACTAGCGATTGGAATAGGAGAGCTGGAAACAAAGAAGAAAAAGGATCAGCAACTGTGAAATATGTCACTGGTGATAGAAACAACTCTGGCTATAACAGAGGATAGAATTCTATAAAACCAACAGCTTATTCATTCCAAATACCATTTTCAACAACATTAATCGAGACTACACATGTGGACTTCACCAGATGGAATACGCAGGAATCCAATTGACAACATCCGTGGGAAGAGATGAGGAAGAATGTGAATATCATCAGGGAGAACAAGGCCAGGGGCTGACTGCATTACAAACCATGACTTGGCTCACATTCAAGTTTGAGTTGAAGCTGAAGAAAATTCAAGCAACTTTATAAGACCCAAAATATGGTCTTAAGTATGTCACACCTGAACTTAGATACCATCTCAAAAATCGATGTTGACCATTGAACACCAATGACCAAAGACAGTAATGACCAAACTTGTGGAACGATACCACAGACACCACACATGAAGAAAGCAGAAGGCCATGCAGAAAAAGAGAAGGAAAGATAAGAACAAAATGGATGTGAGAAGAGACGGAAACTTGCTCTTGACCACAGAGTAGCTAATGGGAGAAATGAAGTAGATTTCAATGAAATCTTTTCTGAAGAAGACAGAGTATTTTACTGAAATGTGCAACAATCTGGGATTAGAAAGCCAAAAAGGATGTAGACAGTCAGTATTTCTCAAGCTGAAAGAACTGAAGATAAAAATCAAGCCTCAAAATGCAATATTGGAGATTTCCATGAGCAAACTATTGAATGTTGCAGAAAGCATCGAAAGAAGATGGATGGAATACACAGAGTCTACGTACCACTGATTGACATACCACCATTTCAAGAGGCAACCTATGATTGGTGTTGAAGGAAGAAGTCCAAGCTGAACTAAAGGCTGTGGTGAAAAACAAGGTCTCAGCAATTGATGGGATACCCATCACAATATTTCAACAAACTGTTGTAGCACAGAGAATTTCCACCAGGCAACTGGCAGTCGCCTCAACAAGTACACTGATAGCTCTCAGAAGGTACCCATTTAACCCCTGCATGTTACCACTGCACCAGAAGTAGCCACTTTTATGACTTTTCACCCCCTAGATTAGTTTTGCATTGGCTTTGAATCATCTGGGTTGATGGAGTAGTCGATGCAGGGTGGTGGTTTATTCATTCTCTTGGCTGTCGAGTATTTCAATGTAGAAATCTATTATAATTCATTTACTCATTCAGTTTTAAAGGGGGGAGGTTGGTGTTGTGGTGGGCTATACATTGAGCTACTGACCATAAGGTGGTTGATTTGAAACTACCAGTCACTCTGTGGAAGAAAGATAAGACTTCTGGCCCCATAATGAGTGGAAACCCACAGGTGCAGCTCTATTTTATATTGTCTAAGTCAGAATTACCTGCATGGCAGTGAGTTGGAGTCTTTGAGTTAAGAACATTTTGAGCTATTACCAACATTGTCACTATTAAGATTCTTGTACACATCTGTGCTAATCTAGGTTAACTAGAGAAACAAATTCATAGACACTCATATTTGTGTGTAAGAGAGAACTTTATACCAAAGAGCAATTTTACATTAAGAAAACATCCCAGCCCAGTTCAGATCAAGTCCATAAGTCTAATACTACCCCATATGTTGACACTAGTCCATCAATTCCTCTTCAGACTCAAGCAGCCATGCAATGACACCAAATGCAGGAAGATCACAGGCCAGTGGGTGGAAAGTCTTATGGATCCAGTGGTGGTGGAAACATCTCAGCACTGGCATGGGTCTCCATGTGGCTCCTCTAGCTCTAGGGCTCTGGCTCTATTAGCGTAACTCCATGTCACTTGTCAACAGGAATGTCTCGCAGGGAGTCAAAGCAAAGAGAGAATGTATCTACCCTCCAGTGAGCTATTTGTCTCTTTCGTGCCTCCAAATGAGGTCATCGAGCTGCGACTTGATTGATAGGCTAGACTCCACCCCTTCACAAGGTGACAAGAGATTATGTAATTCCCACAACATCGTTAGGTGAACATTGGCAGGGTGAGCTACAGGTTATAAATTTATTCATATGTACTATATACCACCTAGTAATTTTCTACAATGAGTTTACCAAGTTGCAGTCTCACAAGCAGTGTATGAAAGCCCCAGTTTCTCCGCATCCTCGCCACTTGTAGCGCTCTGCTTTTTCATGTTTGTGCTTATTAAGTTAAAAAAGAGAACCACAAAGGCTTTGTGACACTGAGACATCATTAAGATGGTAGCAAACTCCTGGGGATTTTGGTCCATGACTATGATTCAGAATATTCAATATACTATTAAATTACACACTCGGCATAACACGCAGTGGAAGCAAAGCCCCAGTGTACAATGGAAAAACCTGCCAAAGCCCATATTTGGGGTTGCAGCTTTTTCAAGCCAAGCAGTGGTGCCCAACCATTTTGGTCAGAGAGCCAGCGAAGGAAAAAGAAAATCTTTGCAGGCCACTTTATTGAATGTCACATCTTCAAAATACGGTTTTATTGAGTCTTGGGAAAGAGTCGTGATTTGGATGTGAATTAACCTATGACATCAAGTGGAAACCTGGTCTTCAGAAAGTTGGAGCAACTCTTCACTGCAAATTAAAACACGGCGAGCTACCACGTCACACCAGCAAGTATAGCAAAATTGAAAAAGACAAAACACAGAAAAGAACAACTGCTGGAGAGGGTCTGAAGAGAATGCAGCAGACATACACTGCCGGTGGGATTGCAACTTACGCAGCCATGATGGAAAACAGTACGGCACCTCCTCTTAAAAAAATGCCCATTGAAATACCATACAACCCAGCAAGCACTCTACTGTGGATAGAGCAGCAATAAACATGGGTGTGCATATATCAGTTTGTCTGCTGCCGCTCTATCCACAGTAGCCAAAAAATGGAAACCACCCCAAGGCCCATCTGTGGAGGCACGGAGCAGTAAACTCTGGGACAGACACACAATGCCATATTATGCAGGTCTCAGAATCAATGCCCAAACTGTCAAACACCGCCTGACCTGGCCAAATTGGGAAGACATTATGCTCTAGAAGGATAGTCAAGCTTATAAAGATAAATACTGCAGGATGCCACGACTATAAAAGGAAAAAGGAAAAAAAACCACAAGAAAAATCATTTTTTACACTGAAAGAACCAGACTTTGAGGGCGGTCTGGGGGAAGGGGGTGGGATAGAGAGGAAGGGGGAAAGTATTGTCATTAAAAAAAGAAAGTTGGAGCAATTCGGTGAGTAGGATGGTAGCATTGGTCTGGGGTTAAGAGGCAGCGCAGGGAGACAGCTGTCACCCAACAATTAGCTTGTCCACCACATTGTGAAGCTAGGAGAGCTGGCATTGGACCATAGCCAATAAGAGGGCGCTGTGTTGACAGCTCAGCTCTGGGGGTGGGGATCATAAACATGATTCTACAGTTCTGTTTCAGTTTGATTCGACCCTGGGCTTATTACAGAGGAAGCCAGCTGAAGGAAAATACTGTATTCCTGGAAAAATACTGAGCGTTACTTTTGTTTTTCTTTTTCAGTCTCAGATTTATACTCGCACACCAACCTTGTATTTGGACTTCAAACTGGACCAAGGAGCAAAGCATTCCCAGGCCATTCCCAAAGGTATGGCAGGCTTGGGGGGTTGTGTTTGTTTCAGAACAAAACAAGGGGTCTGCTTTCTTTGGAAGGGGCTGGGTTTCTAATTTCCTCGCTGGTAAATAGCTCTATGACTCCCTAGGGAGGTATGGGTCACCTTAACAAGGACTGCTGAGGCCTTCCCAATTGAAATCAGGACACAACCATAGAATGCCCAGATCGACCTGCTGGGAGAACCTACCCCTCATGTGAAAGGTGTGGCCACTCAGACCCTGAGTGGGGCAGACATACCCGGCTGCTAACCAGAAGGCTGGAGGTTTGAGGCCATCCAGACACCTTGGAAGGAAGGCCTGATGATCTTCTCCTTATCAGGTGCCCTGGAGTCAGTTCTGACCCATAGCAACCTCATGCACAACAGAACGAAACGCTGTCCGGTCCTGCATCATCCTCACAATGGTTCCTATGCCTGAGCTCATTGTTGCAGCTACTGTGTTGATCCATCTCCTTGAGGACCTTCCTCTTTTTCGCTGCCCCTCTTCTTTACCAAGCATGATGTCCATCTCAAGGGACTGGTCTCTCCTGACAACATGCCCAAAGCATGTGAGATGAAGTCTTGCCATTCTTGCCTGTAAGGAGCATTCTGGCTATACTTCTTCTGAGACAGATTGGTTTGTTCTTCTGGTAGACCATGATACTTTCAGTATTCTTCGCCAGCATCACAATTCAAATACATCGATTCTTCTTCAGTCTTCTTTATTCAGCTTTCACATGTATATGAGTTCTACTGATGATCTACTAAAGCAGAATTTCCACTTCCAAAGTGGCAGATTCTATTGGAAAAAAAAATAATGCATTGGAAGCGCTATGGAGTACAGCTCTCCTAAACTCGTGGGACCCCTTTCATAGATTGTTGTCCTCCCCCCCTTTTTGTTGCTTCCTGATGCCATTATTTTATTATTTTCCTGCTTTCGTTACAAATAGGAAAGCCTTAGTCTTGGCCAGACTGAAACATGATCGGACTTGCTGTGATGCATTCCTTTTCAAACAACCGATTTATCATCTTTAATTTTGGATGTATCCTCCTTCCATAGCTTGAATACCAAAGCCTGAAAATATAATTTGATAGCACGATTCTTCTCTCTTTTTCAGTTTTTCCAACTTTCTAGGGTGAGTTTGGTGAAGGTATACAGAGTCTATCTATTTTCCATTCACTAATTCATACACATTTTGTTTCATCTCATGGGCTGCAATTCGCACAAGGGACCATCTCTTATACCCCTTCCTTCGGTTTCCATTCCTCCTCCTTGTGTTTTTTGACTGAAAAATATTTTACAGAAATCCATGCCAGGATGCTCATCGTTCTTGCTCTCTCTCTTTCTAATACACACACACACACACACACACACACACACACACACGAGCGCACTTCTGTGCACATTTCACGAGTGCCTTGTTTTGGGTGACAAGTTTAAAATATGAGACTTTCCTGTTAAATGCCAGGCAAACAATTAACTCAAGTATTACAAAGACTTGCTCGTCTTGGCCATCTGAAGCGGATGCATTGGTTGGTAAAATGATGCTGTGGGAATTTTTTATCTGAAGTCTTTCAAGTCAAGGTCACCCTTTAGCTTGTTCTCCCCACCCCCACACCTTTCCAGGTCAAATTCCATTTTCTAAATGCCAAGAACTGTCTGTATTCATTTTATCTGAGAGCTTTGTGGTATCAAATGCTCCTTGAAAGGTGTCAGCCGTTGCCTGCGTCCTGGACCTGCATTGTTTACAGTATCCTGATTGTGTCGTTACTCATGACAAAGGGATTTGACATGGGTGTCTGGGTTCTGTTTGGCTTTGGACATTTGCTTTGCAGCCAAAGCTAACGTAATGCTGACTTGGCTGTGTCAGGACCTCCCTGACGGAATCGAAGTGGAAGCCTCGCCTGCTACCATCCTCTCCCTGTTGATAGGAAAGTCATCCCAAGGGCATCCCATTCAATGAGGTTGGAAACATTTCTGAAGAATCAGACCAGGTTTGATCTGACTTCCTTCCTATACATAGGAGTTCAATCGATTTTTCACCCTCTCTTTACTTCCTTCAGGGCAGGCACGTTCCGGGTGAGTTGTGCTAATCTTCCAGAAGGCAGATGTTTCATGCAACGATGCTCTTGGCAGGCGCAGATAGCAGGAATGGCTCAGGGCTGTGCATCACTTACAAAGAATCCAGTTTGTCGGGTTAATGACAGTACCAGATTTCTCTCACATCGACCACACATTTTTCTTGTTAGCTCTTGGCTAAGGAAGCAGAAGTAGGGCTTTCCCTTTGTTTATTTTTGTTATTTGTATGGATGTGTGCACACTGTGATGACTTCTTCCAGCTTTTGCAAAGCAATGCGGTCTTCCTTGCTGTATTCTGATAAACAGAGAGAATGACTGGCTAGCATGAAGGATGTCAATGTCTATTTCTAGGAAAAGAGCCATGGCTTCCGGTCATTTCTTAGAAACTTGTGGTCTTCCCGTCATCTGCATGACCTTTCACCTGCGGCCACCACCAGACCCGATGAATCTCCCCTATCTTCTTTCATACGACCCCTGCTCCTGCTGTTCTTATTGATGCAACCCATTGTTGAGTGCCTTCCAACGCAGCATGAAGCCCTGCCTGCTCCTGCCCCATCCTCACTATTGTCGCTATGTCACTGTGTCCATCTTGGCCATTAAGGGGCTTCCTCTTTTGCTCTCACCCTTTCCTTTGCCAAACATGATGTCCATCTCCAGGGACTGGTCTCTCCTGACAAGAGGTCCAATGTGAGGCACAGTCTCACCATCCTTACTTATAAGAAGCATTCTGGCTGAAAATCTTCCAAGAGAGATTTGTTCCCTTTTTTGGCCATCCATGGGGGTGAATGCTAGCACTAGGCAAATGATCAATTGAGCTGTCAGTTACTGCAATCAGATAAAGGCAAGAGAAAAAAGAGCAGCCCTCAGGTAAAGCAGAAGTCTCTGGGTGGCACACAGTGATAGCCCCTTTGATACTAGTTGAAAGGTTGAAGGTTCAAGCCCACTCGGGGTCACCTCCAAAGAAAGCCCTGATCATCTCGTTTTTTTCTAAAAAAAAAAACAGCCATGGAACAGTTCTACTCTGCACATGTGGGGCCACCATGAGTCAGAAGTGACTTGACAACAAGATAAGGCACGGTGTGTTAGTCCAGGTTGACTAGAGAAACTAATTTCTAGACACTCATATGTGTATAGGAAAGAGCTTTATATCAAAGAGCAATTATATATTAAGAAAACATCCAAGCCTGGTCCAGATCAAGTCCTTAAGTCTGATATTAGCCCATAGGTCCATTATCAATCTATAAATTCCTCCTTAGACTCACACAATACATGCCATGATGTCCAATGCAGGAAGATCACAGGCCAGTGGGTGGAAAGTCTTGTGGATCCAGTGGCAGTGGAAGCATTTCAGTGCTGGTGTGAGTCTCCACGTGACTCTAGGCTAGCTCCATGTGTCTTGTCATCAGGAATATCACACAGAGAGAGTGTCTGTGTCCTGCCTCCAGTGAGCTATTTATCTCCATAGCGCTTCCAAATGAGGCCATCAAGCAGTCACCTGATTGACAGGCTAAACTCCACCCCTTCACTGTTAGTAGTCTCAAGTTGGCACAAGATTATGTAACTACCACACATGGGCACCCAGAAAGGGTCTCAGGAGGGACTTTTGCAAGAATTAGCTGGCGAGACCACCTCCCTGGAAATGAGGCAAAGTGCCAGAGAAAAGGATTTACATATTTGAAAGTAAAATTCTACTGTGTGTGTGTGTTTGACAAACTAGCTGCTGACACCACTGCCCTGCGGGGCCAGAGATCAAGTCCCACCTCCACCCTAGCCCATTTGACTTGGTCATTTATTGTCCCTGGGAAGGGAAGAGCTTCCAGCTGTGAACACCCAGAATCTGCCAACCGTGTTGGTAAAGGAAGGAATATGTCTGGGGCTCTGGCAGGGCCATGGAACATGGGGATGGGAGCGGCTTTGGGGTCAGATGTAAACGTGGGAGGAGGGGTGCAGGAAGAAAGAGAACTGAGTAGGACCTGTGACTCTGTCAGGAGCACCTTTTCCTGATACAGCCCTGCTTGAGCAGAGCAAGGATTCTAGAAATTGTGATTGCTCTGAAACAGAGACTTAATGCACTCACATATGCTAACATGTGCTGTCGACTCGCTGTAAGATCCAACAGTCAATAAGGTATAATAGCCAGAAGTTCCTGGGTGGCGTAAATTATTAATGAACACGCTCAGCTGCTAAACTGAAAGTGGAAGTTCAAGCCCACCTAGACACTTTGGGGAAGAAAAGCCAGGAATTTGCTCTTGATAAATCAGCCATTGGAAACCTTCCCAAGCACAGTTCCACCCTTGACACATGGGGTCGTCCTGAGTAGGGGAATAGAAACAAGTGCAGACAGACCACAGCGTAAACAAACAAAAACAACGCGATTGTTCCTGTTCTTATTCCGGCTTGTCAGCCACTCACCTGAATTGTGATATTACTGGCTGAAGTGGAACCTATATTCTAATAGAAGATTTTTGCAAGGAGCAATTCTAAGTAAATATCTTTAATACATGGACTTGGCCAGTGTTTTAAGCAAATCTTTGTTCCTCCTTCCCTCCTTCTTTCCTTTCTCTTCTTGGATCTTTTTTTTTTTTTTAAGAGCAAATCTTTGTTCCTTCTGGATAAGGTGAAATGATCCCCCAAAAAGAGGAAGAAAACAGATCTAAGCGATTCCGTGTGGACTGTTTTCTGCTTGCAGCGGGGCTAGGAAGCAAAAGAGGTGGAGAAATGAGATTCGAATGATCAAATGATCCAAAATGAAAACTCAATGAGCTAATCTGTTGTCCAACAGGGCAACCATGAATTTCTAAGTCCCTTTCAACCCCAAGAAAAAGATAAATTAAAGGTCTTATGATTTGTCCTTACAGTGGAATACTGTGGAGCCCTTTCCAAGGTCTCTGTGCTTTGACGGGGAAAGGTATCCAGGCTAGAACATGCTGTTTGTTCAAGCTTTTAAGCAATCAATATGCAGTGCTTACACACGGAAATGAAAACTTCCTGAAAGGACAAATGTCAAATTGCTAGCTAGGTTCATGTCAGAGTAGGTGTGAAGATTAGCAGAAAGATGTGCAGTTTCAACATTACACTTTGGCATTCTTAAAACATGGTTGAATAACTGCCTTATTTTGCACAGTCAGAAACCAAACAGGGAGAACATTTGCATCTTGAGAAAGAAGTGGAACCACTTTCCAGTGGCTTAGTCTGGCCCTCACCTCCCCAAAGGTCCAAACAGCCGGAAGAAAGGCCTGGTGATCCATTTCTGATAAACAGCCATTGGGGTGGGTGAGGGGGGCACCTTATAGATCGCAGCTCTTCTTCAAAAGGACTTTGAAAAGTTTGAAAAGTTGGTGCGAAAGTGGGATTTCCCCATGACATTTTTTAGACCCCCTTGTACATGGGGTTGCCATGAATGGACTAGTTTAGGGTGTAACAAGTGGAGAAGAAATGGACTTCACAACAGAATGGGCTGATAAATCAGGCGGCCGGGATGAGACAGCACTGCCGGAGACATCCGAGAGAGGAGGGCTTCCCACAGCCCCCACCCGAGTTCCCCAACCCAAGCTCCCAGAGCTGTGCCCTTGGTGTCTCTGTACGGACCCTCCTTGGATCGTGTCGCTTGGGTTCCCTTTCAGTCCTCACATGCTTTCAAACGGTCTCCTACTGCTTTTGCACACACGCTAGACCACAGGATAGTGAGGCCAGTATTAACGGAGCTTTTCCATCGATGCCCGGGGGCACCGAAATGTCCGCGGCTTGCTTCCTGGCGGTGCCGGTGTGGAGCCCACACCTGCGAATGCTGCCTGTGTCTCCACCAGGAGGCCGGCAGGCACCTGGCCTGTGTCCCCATGGGCTGAGGAAACCCCAGCCCTTGTTTCATAAAGGGAAATGGGGAGGCTTGGAGCTGGCAGCAAGCAGCATCATTCCCAGAGGCCTGAAACACCTTTTAGCCAAGCCCGAGAAAAGAAAAAATAACTGCCACAGAGCAAGGGGAGGAAATCCCCGCTGGTGTCCCCCAAAGTGCCTGTGTGAGAGCTGGAGTCTGTATGTGTGTGCATGTATATGGTATTTGCTTTGCCATCTTTTGGATTTCCTTAACTTGACTCAACTCCTGTGGACTGACTGTTAGACCTTTGCTCCTGGGTCTCCCCTGGGCATTCCTGGCCGGCTGCTACCACAGCCACAGCCTCAGCGGGGACTCGGTGCCCCTGCCTCCTGCCTGCCTGCCTTTGTTGGCTTCGTCTCAAGTTGACTCCTTTAGGCAAATTCCAGGCTGGCCAGGCCCTCACTTCCAGGCCTCCATCGCTCCATGCAAGCTGGGCAGCTCTCGTGGGCCAGGGAGACAGCACCTCGGCAACCATGGAAGCCCCTGGTGGAGCAGCAAGTGCACGCAGGACGTGATCGGGCCTTTGGGCCTTTCTCCACACTGGAGAAATGGTGTGGCTCATTCCTGAGGGTCCACAGACCCGCTGAAGCCCACTTGGACCGCACCCCCACATCCCAGGAACCAGCGCTCTAGGCCCGAGCTCACTGGCAGCTAGAATGCGACACAGGAAAGACAAACCTATTTTTAGCAGGAGCTTCACACTGAAAGCTATTTGGAGTCCCAAGGAGCTGAAGACAAAGCCAGGCTGGAGAGTGTTGGAATGGCTAGGATGTTCACACGGGAAGGAACAGCTTGTTTGTTAACATGTCAGTTGTTGGCATACAAGGATGCTTCCAAAAGTTCATGGGAAAATGGAATGAAAAGAGAATGGAATTTTTCCACAAACTTTGTGTAGTCCCCTCGGATAGCTATATGGCTAAGTGAAAGATAGGCTGTCTAATTTGCATGACTCTGAAACATCCGGGCCATGTCAGTTAGGTCTAGGCAAAAGAGGAAGAGAGAGAATGAATGAGAGTGAAACAGCTTGCCGAACTTGGATTTTAAAATCTATAGCAAAAGAAAAAGGGCTCTCACCTCCCAATCTTATCTATCGCATTCGCTGTTCTTTTTTGTGCACCCTTGAGCGATACAAACAGCTTGGGGGCTACTAACCGAAAGGTTGACAGTTTGAATGCACCCAGTGGCTCTGTGGAAGCAAGTCCTTGCGGTCTGCTCCCATAAAGATGACGGCCAAAGAAACCCGCTGGCACTCAGTTCTACTCTAACACATGGGGTCACCGTGAGTAGGAACTGACCTGACAGCAAGGCTCGGTTTGGTAGGATTTTGGGGGGGGTGGGCGGTATTTTTCATCATGTACACTATTTTTCTTTAATATTGCTGATCCCTTTTCAGGGTGGACAAGCTTCATTTATACCATATCTGGAGATGTCTACATCGGTAAGTTATGGGTCTGGTGCTCTGGGTTCCTCCCCCCGACAGCCGCCCTTCCCACACTAGTCCCAGTGTTGCCCAGAGAAGCTAGAAGGTATGAAGATCAGTCAGACTCCTGCCCATACAAGGGCCAGCCCCAGGTGTGTGGGCTGACACCTCCCTAGGAGGTCGCCAGGCACCCTTCTGAAAAAGTCTGAAGCTATCAAGGGCTCTGAGAGCAAAAGGAATTTCTGTGTCTTCTGAGAGGCGAAAGGAGGTGAATCTGGAGTGCCAGGGGCCTCTCAGAGCTCTCCGTTTGCTCCTGTTCGGGGGTTTGCCTACCTGTTGTCTATTGAGTTGACTTTTAGAAGGGATGTTTGAGACCCCACTAGCCCTCATTTTACAGAGAAGTTCAAATTGCCCGGGGTCATTACCAACAGCTCTGCAAAGGCCCTGGATGGAGTGGGAGAACAAGGTGGAAGAAAACCCCAAATCATAAAAGAGATCGGGTGTATTGGTCAGCTAGAGACTGATGGAGCCCCCAAGACAAGGGGCCTCCGTCACCCTTCAGGTCTGGAACTGAAGTCACCTGGTGTAGACATTGTTGAAGGGAAACCTCCGCTGCTAGAGTTTCTACTCTGATACCCAGGAAGTTGCCATCCATCAGAGCCAGCGGCTTATGCCTCCTTTCAAAGGGGAAAAGAGATCTTCCTAAGCTGGGCACTAGGCTTCTGGAAAGTTGTGGTCACCCCAACCCATCTCCCTTGAACTTATTCTAATACAGCACAAATAGTTTAGTGCCTCTTTCACAGACTAGTGTTTCAGGGACAGGTCAGAAGCACAATTCATTCCTTTGAGCACCTGAGGAAGTGTGAGGATACTGTAGCAGTAGAATTACAAGTCCCCGTGCACATCTGCCCGATAGCGGGTTAGATGCTGGGCTGCTAACTTTGACAGTTTGAACCCGCCAGGCACTCCGCAGGAGAAAGATAGGACTTCCTATTCCTGAAAAGAGTTACAGTTTCAGAAATACACAGGGACAGTTCCATCCTGTCCAATGAATTAGACACTGTGAGTTGGAATCGACTTAATAGCAGGGAGTTTGGTTTTGCTTGTTGGTCCTCACATGTCAACTCTACTCACATGTCAACTCTACTAACCATCTGAGAGAATTGAGATTTCCATTTGGTTTGATGATTGGCTGAAAACACTGCAGCTTGCATAGTACTTTGTCAATGTGGAGAGAAGACAGCTTTATGGGGTTAGCATCCCTGTTTGCATGAGAAACAGAATAGTCCCCGCACACAGAGGATAAGAAAGAAAGCACCTAGAGTCGAAGGGGGTAAAGAGACCGGAAATATTTCCATAGAAGGCGAAAGAACAGAGGTGAGCAGGCATTTTTCAGAATGGCCCAGGAGGTAACTCGTTCAGCTTCTCAGGCCAGATGGTCTCCGTGGCAACTACCCAGCTCTGCCCTGGTAGCACACGCCACCCCAGACAAGGTACGGATGAATGGGCATGGCTGTGTGCCCATAAAATTTTATTTATACCCACGGAAATGTGCATTTCCTATTCTTTCCATGTAGCTTGATCTACTACTCTTCCTTTGATTTGTTTGTCCCATGGTTGAAAAATGTGAAAACCTTCCTGAGCATGAGAGTTGAGCAAAAAATATGCCATGGAGGGGGTGGGAGTTTGCCACGCCCTGAGAAAGAGCAATTCTCTCCGTTAACTTTGATTTCAGTGACACCATGAAGGGTGAAGGGAGACAAAGGCACAAACAGCACTCACCTGTGTTTACATCTGTGGGTGTGCCTTGTTTTACACCAGGCACTTCCCCAGTGGAGGACTCTGCAGGCCACAGTGTCGAGCAGCCTGGACTTGCCCTTGTTCTCAGGGTAGGGCAGGGTTTCCCCATCATCTGTACTCACTGACTTGAGTACAAACCATCTGGCCAGAGACGGAGGTGCCTGGAAACAATGAATTCACAGGACTAATGGACCATGCAAATCTCAGCTTTCAGCATCCTGAGGCCAGAAGAACTAGATGGTACCCAGCTACCACAAGCCCCTTTCCTAACGCCCCCCACCCGCCCAATCAGATAGTCAGCTTAAATCAGAATCCACTTACCAATCAGATAGTCAGCTTAAATCAGAATCCACTTACCATGGAGTCCTTGGGAGGAAATCCCATCTTAAGTCAGGGACTGCCAGTATTTAGAAATCTCAAAATATCTGTCTGTGGTTCTTGAACTTAGAGCCAACTGGCCTATGCAGGCAATACATTGTTTCACCTTATTCATACTTGAGTATGTGCTCAGCCTTTTGCTTCTGGCTGTGGGTGGTATTCTGAAGTGTCACATGGCCCTTGGGTCTTACAGTCAAGCTGAGAAAAGACAGGCAGGCAGCAGTGGGGATTGTCTTCCTGTCCATCTGAAGGGCTCCTGGGTGGGACCAATGGTTCATTGCTAGACCACTCACTGAAAGGTCGGTGCCTTGAACCCACCCTGAGGTCCCTTGTAAGATCAGCCTCCCCAGCTGAGCGCTAGACAACCTGGGTAAACAATGTGGAAAGTAATGAAATCAACGTGACCAAGACGTAATTCTAGAAGAGCTGAATCCAATGCTGTGTAAAAGTAAACAGCTAAAAGAAAAATCACCTTAGAACTGGTATGAGAGAACCTATAGTGACAGCAGGCAGAATAAAGGGGGAGGGGGTACAGTGGGGGTGTTGGTAAAAGGGCAACAATGCCAAGAAGTCCATGTAGTAAAAGAATGGTTGGAAACTAATTGTGGTAGCAATGGTTCAATTCTATTTGACGTGACTGAAATATGGAATGATATATGTAATAAATCCCAACTTAAAAAACTAAAAGCTAGTATGGGAGAGATGAATGGTGACTGAGGGAAATCTGTAAACATCTAGAAGGATTTCAAGTTCTGCTTTAGAAAGAAATGCAAAAAAAAATCTTAAAAAGGAACAAAGAAACGCAAGGCTTCCATCCAGTCAGCCCCACCTTGACTGGACAGGTAGTCATCGACTTACAACGGCTTCTGACCTGACCCTTTCACAAATCAGTTCTGACAGAAATAGAACCTCTTTTTTTCTTTTTCTTTGTCTCCTTCTCTCTAATCGTCCCTTTTATAATCAGTACCTTTAGAAAGGCAAGCTTCAAACATCTGCTAGTGAGCATCTGAGAGTGATAACATCGGCAAATTATGAGCTGCGGCCTTGCACATGGTACCCATTACTAACAATGAGATGGACAGACATAAATCAATCCGCGTTTGTAACTGCAGTCCTTCGTAACTTAAATACGTTGTAAGCCGAGGGCCACCTGTATTGACACATTCGGGGCAAATGAAGGCATAGCTGTGCTTTCAAAGAAAATATATGAGGCAGTTTACAGGTCTCGTCCGATGAATGCTCATTGCAGTGGGTGAGCAGGCCTCGATCATGCATCTACACTTGATTCTATCAAAAATCTATGATGGAAGTCACCGGCACAGAGCTACAGAGACACTAGCTCAGCTGGCATTTGGGGCATAGGACACAGCCATGCGTTAACCGCCACCGCCGCGCTAGCAATGTTAAGATGCATGGTCAAGTCGCTTTGCCCTTTTATGACGGTTTAAGAAAACAAGACATATTTGCAGTCACATTGTTTTCACTTAAATTTTCCTGAGCTGCACAATTAGCTTGAACATTCTTGGCACAGAGTCTCAGTGGAAACTACTCATTATCTGATTTGGCTCTATGTATCGTTGAAAGCAGTCAGAAACAATGTGATATATTTTCTTGGAGACCTAGTTTAGTTTCAGGAGATAACAAGACTGGGGCGGGGTGGGGGGTGGGGGGGGGCTGAGAAATGCAGATGGAGTCGGTCCTTGCTCTGCTGTGACCCTTGGTGAAACATGTCCTCTATTAACGCAGATACTGAAGGAACAGCAGAGTTGGGTTTCCATTTAATCATGTAAAATGTCCCTTTAAAAGCTTCTGTGCTAGGATGGAGCAAACATTCTCAGTGTGACCACCGGGAGCCGTCTCATGTATCAGCAAGAAGCTAGGCAGAGCGTGCGTCCTATGTAACGTTAGAAGTCAAGGTCTTTGGACAAGCTGAACTGTTTTCTAAAAGATGGCTTAGTCACACAAATGGCCCTGATAAGAGGTGCAGAGAAACCCAAATTCAGTAATGTTTGGGAGAGCTGGCCCTTGCCAGCTCAGTACATTTGAAAAGTAAGGTATCCATGGAAAAGAGAAGTGTTATTCACTGCTTGGGGCTATGTACCATGCACCATTGAAGGTGATCAAAGTAGGGGTCAGGAGCGGACCATGGGGGTAATGGGTGTTATAGATGATGTAGTAGACCAGAACCACATGGCTCATCGCTTCCAAGGAGTCTCAGTAAAACATATTTCATATGATGCTATTGCATATCACTGTTAAAAATTGTACCCAATTCACAATGAGATTCTTCTTCGACTCCCACACCTCATTTTTTTCCTGCCAAAGCCCTGCCCGAGGGAGAAATCAATGGGTTTCTGTGACATTTGCTGGCTGAAATCCTTGATGGGGAAGAACTCTCAGGGTGTGGCAGGGAGCCAGAATCAATGGATATCAACAAGTATTGATGGATCGCCTACAATGGCTTAGCCCGAGGGGAAAATCCAAAGAAGTCCAAAGCAGGCTCCTGTCATTCAAATCATTCAAAATCTCATTGGGGAATTCTCATGAGATTCACTCTGAATAATTCAATTTTAAAAAATAAGTTAGTTGGGTAGCTATTGACCCACAGCTACTGAACTCAGCAAGGCCTAATGATCAATGTTGTGGGAGAGTCTCTTGGATGCATGGATAATTTTCATAAGTATACTTGATTCTTAGGAGGTTTCTAACTTCACCCAAGGAAACACTCTTAACGAGTGTATCATGCCTACTGGCTTCTCATTAATCGAGCATCGATTTGGACATGTTATGAGAAGGGTAGATGGAAACTCAATGCAGAATGTACCTCCCTCTTCTCCTCCTATGGTGGAAACAAGCCAGTTCCAGACTTGGATGACAACAAATACAATTAACCCAGAGTGCCTGTCATTGCTGAAGTTGAGAGAAGATAGGATGATGGTGGGTTGGGAGTAGGATTCTTACTTTCCAACCCAAGTGGCCTGGGCACAATTTCTGCTTCATGTCCCTGATGTGCAGCCACCACGTGGCTGGCAGTGAAGGCCTGTGTACTGCTGTGATGCTGCAGAGGTGACAGAGCAGGAAGAGAGAGCTGGTGACCTCCTTTCAACATGGAGCCAGCGGAAACCCTGTGGATCTCAACAGTCTGACCCTGGACCATCACGGCAAGGGCACAGGCCCAGGCACCATTTTGTTCGGTTGGGCATGGAATCTTGGTGTGTGTGTGTGTGTGTGTGTGGAGTGGGGCAACTCTACAGCTGTAAGCAACCCTAATTTGGCAGGCCATCTGTTTTGTAGGGCCCGATGATGCACAACAGAAAATAGAACCTCATCACACCGCAGTGCTGGGGGAAGGTGACAATGTCCAGGTGGAGAACAAGGTAAGCACAGGAAAGCATTGCTTTCCTTCCCTAGGCCTTTCTACCCATTTATAAGAATATGCCTTCCTCTCCTGAGGAATAGAGATTTTTCTTCTCTCTTCTTTGGGGAGGAAACCATGCCACACAGTCAAGTGTATCATCCATACCTCTTATTCATTTGTCTTCTTTCCACAGGGTGAGTCCAAAGTTGTATCTAAACAGATTTCCCCACTTTAGGAGTCCTATAAAGCCCTTGCTGTTTACCATGAGAAATCGGAACCTGGAGGCAACACACCTTGCTTGTCCTTAGAATACTGGCTTTGATTTGTGTTGCGCTTCTGGGAAAGTGAGTTTTCCCCTTTGAAGGAGCAATAGAGATTTGCATGCATCCTTGAACATTGGGCGGCCAGTAATGCTGGTGACCGAACAACGTGGTGAAAGTGGGAAAAGACCAGCGTTTTGTTCCACATATGTTCAACCCCGGTGAGAATGAGGAGGACCATGGGATGTGGTGCCTAGTCCTTTTGTATTGAATCACTGCTTTTTGAGGTAGAGTTGCAGAATTGCAGGAATTGGGGGACAGTTGCATTTCTAGGTTGCATTCCCAGACCTACACCATCCCCTCATGTCACTCATGCTTCATCTTGGGAGCCTCGTATGCCCCTCTGGGTCCTCTGGGTCAATCTAATCGAGGGGATTAGGAAACGATGAGGATGATTCCCAAGTTTGTGTCACTCCTGATCCTTGGACCCTGCTATCAGAGAATCCACTACATTTGAGGCATGATGGGACCACGGCCCACCTCCTAAAACAACAACAAAAGCTCTTTGCTGCCCAGTCAATTCAGACTCATGATGGACCCCTGTGTGTCCCTGTGCAATTGTGCTCCCTGGGGCTTTTATGGAAGAGATCACCAGGCCTTTCTTCCATGGCCTCCCAGGTGGTTTCTAGCAGCCACTCACCTTTTGGTGAGAAGCCAGGTGGAAACTGTTTTCACCACCCATGGACCTAGCCCATCCCCAGCTGCTCCTTGATGAACCAAGAAGCAAAGAGAAGGAAAGAAAAGCCCATGTGTGTGAGTCCGGGTAGACTAGAGAAACAAATCCTTAGAAACTCATATGTGTATAAGAGAGAGTTTTATATAAAGGGTAAATGTATATTAACAAAACATCCCAGCCCAGTCCAGTCCAAGCCCATAAGTCTGATATTAGCCCATATGGCCGATAGCAATCTATAATGTCTTCTTCAGACTCATGAAACACATGCCATGACACTGAATGCAGGATGATCACAGGCCAGTGGATAGAAAGTCTTTGGATCCAGTAGCGCTGCGAGTGTCTCAGCGCTGGCAGGGGTCTCTGTGTGATTTCTCCAGCTTGAGAGTTCTGGTTGCATCAGGGTATGTGGCTTCTCCAGCTCAGGGCACTAGAGTAGTTCCGTGTCTCTTGTCAGCTGCAATGTCTCCCAGGAAATGAGCAGAGAAAGAGAGAGAGAAAGCTCTCCCACCTCCAAGGAAGAAATACAGGAGTCCCCACTTCTCAGGAGAAGGTCATGCCCACACAAAGGCCTCATTGCCTAAGATCTGATTGACAGGCTAGACTCCACCCCTACACTCTTAATCCTCAAATTGACAAACGATTACAAAACTACCACACCTTGAAAGCCAGAGACTTCCTTTAATCCTATAGTGAGCCATCAGAAACTGCCCTAGTCAACCTGCACAACATGGCTAGTTTCTGTATTTCAACCCAATACCCCAGAGACATAGGGAAGCTTTCGTTAGGCCAGAAGTACTGATACAGGATTACTAGTGGCGCAATGGTTAATGCACGGCTGCCAACAACTGGACAACAGTCTGAACCCTTCAGTGGCTCTAAGAGAGAATGATCTGGGGATCTCCTTAGGAAACCCTGGGGGGGGGGGGCAGTTCTACTGAGCCACATGGAGCTGCTAAGAGTCTGAATGCACTTGACAGCCCCTGATCCAGGGCATAGTGGGTGCCCTCTGGGTAGACGGAGAGCTCACGGATGGAAAACGCCACAGTTAACGGTTGTCCTCCCTGATAGGTGCTATCCGATGAAGATTGGGGATGTATGCCCTAAGAGACCCGAGTCCCTGGGGGTCAAGGCCAGGACTTTCCTTATTGGAAACTAGCCTTAGCATCGGGGAGAGGCAAAGGAGGAAGGGGTGACTTCCCAGAGCTGCCCCCAAGCCCCCTTGCATCAGTCTGAGGGGAAGAACTCTGAGCAGATTCCTTCTCTGGCTTCTTTCAGACCCTGCTCTTGCTGACTTTTCAGTGACCCTTCGTGTCAGTGCCCTCTACCCTCGAGCCCCTCTCTGTGCCTTGACCAGCAGGACAGACAGCGTGGCCAATCTCTAGGGCAGGCATGGTGGGGATGGAGGGGCCAGCGCACATCACCCCTTCTCTCTGCCCCAGGCGCCTGCTCCTTCCTGAGCCAACTCAGCTCAGGTCACACTACTGGGACTGCCCCCATTTTCATCACCCGGAGGGTGAACTGACCCTTTCTGACCATTATTGTGAAATCGGCTCTATCACACAGTGGAGCCATTTCGATGGCACTAACAGCAACTAGACTTCTTAGACGAAGTCCACACTCTAACATTGGCTTCAAAATTGACTTCACTTTTTTAGGGTTCTTAGAACTCGGGATCAAACCTCATCGAGGGTCTTGTTCTTTTTCCCGGGCACTCCACTGTACCAAGCATGATGTCCTTTTCCATGGACTCTGCTACTTCTAACATATAGAAAGTGTGTGGGGCGAAGTCTCACCATCCTCCCTTCGAAGGAGCCTTCTGGCTTTACTTCCTATAAGGCAGATTTGATTGTTCTTCAAGAAGTCCATGATAATTTCAATTTTCTTTGCCAACACCATAATTTAAATTCTCCTCTGGTCTTCACTATTCTTTGTCTAGCCTTCACATGCATATGAGGTGATTGCGAATGCCATGGGTTAGGCCAGGTGCACCTTCGTCCTCAAAGTGACCACTTTGTTCCTTGACACTCCAAAGAGGTCTTATTTCTCCTGAAATGGTTGACTATAAACCAATTACTTGAGGTACAGCGGCTAGTGTATTCCTTCCATCTCTTTCCCCTCCCTACACCCCCTCCTCCCACCCTGAGACTGCCCTTCCATCTTCTTCTGATGTTTCCTGTATCATTCAAAGATAGCCAGAATGCGCCTTAGAAACAAGGACAGCCAGACTTCTCACATAATTGGGACAGGTGGTCAGGAAAGATCCATCCCTGGAAGAGGACCTCATTCTTGGTCAACTGGAGGGTCAGTGAAAAAGAAAGAGGACCATAGGAGATAGACTGAGGAAGGGACTGCAACAATGGGCTCAAACAGAGCGACAAGTGTGAGGATGGCATGGGGCGGGGTCGTGTTTTGCTCTGTTGTACCCAGAATCCCTATCATTCAGAAGTAACTCAACAACAACAACAACAACAACAATATTTTGCCCAGTTCTTTCGTCTAGAGACATGTGGAGCATGTTCTTTCTTTTTGGCTTTCTTGCTCCAAGTCTTTTCACGCTCGCCTTTTCTCAGGCCACCCTTTGACATCTTCGGCCTTCCCTCCATCAGTTCTACCATTCGCTTTAGCAATTCTAGGCTCCCTAGACTTCTCAAGAGAAGAGCAACTGGGGTGTTTTGCCACGTGACTGCTCTACTGAATATCAGAAAAGTTAGCTACTTTCGCTTCGTAAGGATTGCTTTGGAGAGAGGAAGTGATGCACTTAAAAACAAGAACGAGACACCAACTAGCTCTGCCTTGGGTTGGAGGAGAAGGGCCATGCTGAGGTTGACCATGTGGAAAAGTCCTTAAAGAAGCTTCGGCCACCCTCCAGATTTTGAAAATGATGGACCCAAACTCTCAAACTCCTGAACTCCTTGCAGTTCAACGATTTTTCGTGCCAAACAAAACACATGTGTCCTTTTATCCTCCTATCTGACTTTCAAATGGAAAGTCACCATTTGCTTTGAGTAATATCAAAAAGAGCAAATTTTTGTTTTATCTTGAAACTATTTAAACTATCATCATTCCAAAAGATGTAAACTACTGGACACCCTCATCCTTCATAAAAGATGCATCTTCGGAATTAAGACATTCCATTTGTGAGCACTCAACGCCCACACAACCGAAAGAGGCCTGCCTTTCCTCTCCCCTTCTCTCGGAACCCTTCTCTCTCTGTGGTCTACCTCCAGCCATGCCCCAAGCAAGACGAACACACAACCCCCGGGAAATGCTATTAAAAGATGCTCATCTTTCCGATTCAGTGAAGCAAAAGGATGCAATATGATGGTTTAAACTCTTTTACTTTTGTTCAAATGTCCTTTGTTTCACAGGATTGCCTCTCTGATCTTAGGGACCCGTAAATGTTTCTGGATAATGGAGTTTTGTTTTGTTTTCATTGTGATGTTGACTTTTGAGTCATTCAAACATCACATTGAAAAAACAAGAAATCATTTGTGCTAGATCCCCTTTCCTGATGATTTTCTGCAGAATTAAACTTAATCCTGACCTTGGGCATCTGCAGGTACATGAATGATGTGTCTGCAGAGCCTGCTGGTGACTACAGAAATTGCAGATAAATTTTTTAGCTTCTCTGCCAGTTTTTCATCATTTCAAAAATATATATAATGATCATGTTTGATATCAAACTGTCTATTTTCTTACTTTCCTGTCCTTTTTTTAAAAAAAATTTAATTTTATTGGGGGTTCGTACAACTCTTATCACAATCCATACATACATCCATTGTGTAGAACATTTGTACATTTGTTGCCATCATCATTCTGAAAACATTTGCTTTCCCTGTGAGCCCTTGGTATCGGCTCCTCATTTTTCCCCTCCCTTCCTGCTCCCTCCTCCTTCATGAGCCCTTGATAATTTATAAATTATTATTTTGTCATATCTTACACTGTCCGACCTCTCCCTTCACCCACTTTTCTGTTATGCGTCCCCGAGAGAGGAGGTTATATGTAGATCCTTGTAATCGGTTC